TCACTCACCCACTCACCCACCTACTCACCCACCCACTCACCACCCACTCACTCACCCACTCACCCACCCACTCACCACCCACCCACCCACTCACCCACCCACCCACTCACCCACCCACTCACCACCCACTCACTCACTCACTCACCCACTCACCCACCTACTCACCCACCCACTCACCCACCCACTCACCACCCACTCACTCACCCACTCACTCACTCACTCACCCACCTACTCACCCACCCACTCACTCACCACCCACCCACTCACCCACCTACTCACCCACCCACTCACTCACCCACTCACTCACCACCCACCCACTCACCCACCCACCCACCCACTCACCCACCCACTCACCACCCACTCACTCACTCACCACCCACGCACTCACCTACTCACTCACCCACCCACCCACTCACTCACCCACCCACTCACCACCCACCCACTCACCCACCCACTCACTCACCACCCACTCACTCACCCTCTCACCCACTCAACCACTCACCTACTCACTCACCCACCCACCCACTCACCCACCCACTCACCACCCACTCACTCACCCACCCACCCACCCACTCACCCACCCACGCACTCACCTACCCACTCACCCACCCACCCACTCACCCACCCACTCACCACCCACCCACTCACCCACCCACTCACTCATCACCCACTCACTCACCCTCTCACCCACTCACTCACCCACTCACTCACCCACCCACCCACTCACCCACTCACCACCCACTCACTCACCCACCCACCCACCCACTCACCACCCACCCACCCACCCACTCACTCACTCACCCACCCACCCACCCACCCACTCACCCACCCACTCACCACCCACTCACTCACCCACCCACCCACTCACCCACCCACTCACTCACTCACCCACCCATCCACCCACTCACTCACCCACTCACCCACCCACTCACTCACTTACTCACCCACCCACTCACCCACCCACTCACTCACCCACTTACTCACCCACCTACTCACCACCCACTCACTCACCCACTCACTCACTCACCCACTCACTCACCCACCCACCCACTCACCCACTCACTCACTCACCCACTCACTCACTCACCCACTCACTCACCCACCCACTCACCCACCCACTCACCCACCCACCCACCCACTCACCACCCACTCACTCACTCACCCACTCACTCACCCTCTCACCCACTCACTCACTCACCCACTCACTCACCCACCCACCCACCCACTCACCCACTCACTCACCCACCCACCCACTCACCCACCTACTCACCACCCACTCACTCACCCAACCACTCACCCACTCACTCACTCACCCACCCACCCACTCACCACCCACTCACTCACCCACCCACTCACTTTTTCAAGATTCACTGCTATTAAATCTATTATCGGCTCAATTTTTTCGTAAATATTACAGCTTCCGTCCTAGGATTGGCAAACCGAGCTAGTAAAGTATAAGCTTACATACTTTTACAGATTTTTTTGTTAAAATCAGGCGCGTTAGGTTGTCGCGAGGGACATTTACCTCAACTTTATCGGGATAAGCGATGTGGCAACGATTAACGAGGGTTACTTTCTTTATTCTCACAACATTCACTCATTATACTTTCACGCGCGGAGTCACCCGAAGGCTTCCTGACCCCCGCCGAATTGGCGGGAATTTTCAAACGTTTCGTAAAAAATTACCTGAAGCAAGTTGCCCGTGTTTCCCTGTGCGACTGGTCGCCGGGGGGGGGGACAGGACCTGGGTGCATTGTCCGCAGGTGCCGGTGGGCACACCTCCCGCATTGCTGCCGCAACCGTGGATTCGCTTTGCTAAGCGGAGCCGGTTTGTGCACCCCTCTCGCCGCGTGAGTTTGTCTCCTCTCCGTACCGCAGGGGCCGAGTGTGCGCTGTGCGTGGCGAGCCGGGACGTGCGTCCGCTCGTGTCGGCCTCGCGTGCTCTGGACGTGAAGGACACGACGACCCGGTGGTCCACTGCTCTTCGTGGGGAGTCAGCTTCCAGGCAGAGGTCGCAACCGGGTACCCGATACCCGTACCCTACCCGATAGCCGGCTACCCGTACCCAGCCGGGTACGGGTAGCCGTTTGCGACCCTGGTGCGGCCGGGTACGGGTACGGGTAAGCCCTGAGTCACTGGTGAGTCACCGTTTGTCACTCATTTCGGGTAGGGTACGGGTACGGGTAGGCCGTGAGTCACTGGTGAGTCGCCGTTTGTCACTCATTTGGGGTAGGGTACGGGTACGGGTAGGCCGTGAGTCACTGGTGAGTCACCGTTTGTCACTCATTTCGGGTAGGGTACGGGTAGGCCGTGAGTCACCGGTGAGTCGCCGTTTGTCACTCATTTCCCAACGTCTTGTCTCGTCTCACAATTCAAGTTCCTAGAATCAACCCACCCGCGCCTGCAACGTGGCTTCATCCCAGAGGTCGCAATCGGGTACCCGATACCCGTACCCTACCCATACCCGGCCGGGTACGGGTAGGGTACGGGTACGGCTGGGTACGGGTAGGGTACGGGTACCCGTTTGCGACCCTGGTGCAGCTGGGTACGGGTACGGCCGGGTACGGGTAAGGAATCAAAACCCGTTTGCGACCTCTGCGAAAGAGTGAAGGGGCTGAGTTTGCAATCGCTACGGGTTTCGCAAACGCAAACCTTTCCGAATGTATTTCCTGACGTTGAATACGAAAAAAAAGCACGGAATTACTTGAGATTTGAAGCGCTTTAATTTTGAGCGTACAGGCAACGAACAGAAACAATGAACGTTCACTTGACAATCACAATGCAAGTTACCACGAAAGTCCACGGCCTGCCAGTTGTGTTATACTGCTCCTAATCTTATTCTTGGTTAAATTTCGATGTAAAGCTTTCCTGACTGCAGGGATTCATCTTCTTGGTTCTTTCGGGAAAGTCACGTAGAAGGGAAATAATAAAATAATAAAAATAAAACATAAAATAATTCTCACGACGTTTCGGCCACAGACCTGGTTTTCACCTGAGGACGGCTGCTTGCGTTGTGGCCGAAACGTCGTGAGAATTATTTTATTATGTTTTATTATCTTATTACTTCCCTTCTACGTGACTTTACTGAATGAACCAAGAATATTATTCTTGGTTCTTTCGGGAAAGTCACGTAGAAGGGAAATAATAAAGTAATAAAAATAAAGCAGTGAAATTCTCACGATGTTTCAATTTCAACACAAGCAATCACCATCATCAGGTGTGATCATCAGGTGTGATGATGATTGCTTCAGGTGATGATGATGACGATGATAGTTCTATTTCTATTATTTTATTATTTCCCTTCTACGTGACTTTCCCGAAAGAACCAAGAATATGAATCCTTGCAAGTCACAACAGCTTTAAATTGCTGCTATTCTGTCAAGCGTGTTTATTATTTCTAGATTTGAAGCTTCCGTGACTGCAAGGATTCATATTCTTAGGTTTGTTCGGTAAAGTCACGTAGGTAAAACATTTTAATTAATAAAAGTAAAATAAAATAAATATTTTACTTTTATTAAATTTAAATTAATAGAAGTAAAATAAAATAAATATTCTACTTTTAAGTTTTTTACCTACGTGACTTTACCGAAAAAACCTAAGAATACGTGTTCATTGTGTTAGTTCAACTCCACACATTCCGTGAGCAGCCTTCAAACAGTTTGTGTTCATACTCTTTGGTTCTTTCGCTAAAGTAACGTCGGTGAAAATAAAATAACTAAATGACGACGTCTCGGAGGCAACACAAGCTTCCGTAATCAGGTGTGACAACCGCAGCGAGAATGTTTTACGGTAAAGTCACGTGGGTGACTTTTTTTTTTTTCCCGCTGCCGTTGTTCCACCTGGTGCCGGAAGCTTGTGTTGCCTCCGAAACGCCTTCATTTAGTTATTTTAATTTTGTTTTCTACCTACGTGACTTTACCGAAAGAACCAGAGAGTATGGATCCTTGCAGTGTCACGGAAAGTTCACATTTTTAAGTTCATGGCCATATCATTGCCACTGATCTTCTTGGTTCTTTCGGTAAAGTCACGTAGAAGGGAAGTAATACAATAATAAAAATAAAACAATAAAATATTATGTTTTATTTTTATTATTTTATTACTTCCCTTATTACTTAAAATAATGAAAATAAAACATAATAGAATATTATTATGTTTTATTTTTATTATTTTATTACTTCCCTTATTACTTAAAATAATAAAAATAAAACATAATAGAATATTATTATGTTTTATTTTTATTATTTTATTACTTCCCGTATTACTTAAAATAATAAAAATAAAACATAATATTTTATTATGTTTTATTATTTTATTTTTTATGTTTTATTTTTATTATTTTATTACTTCCCTTCTACGTGACTTTACCGAAAGAACCAAGAAGATGAATCCCTGCAGTCACGAAAGCTTTAAATCGAAATTTTATTATGTTTAATTTTTATAATTTTATTATTTCCATTCAATCGAAATTGCCGCTGACGCGAACCACGTTTTGCCAACTCTGAATGACCCATGTTGGGTTTTTTCACCGCTTGAATGCCACAGCCTTCAAACCTTCACCTCAGCACAGTTCATTCTTCATTGCAGGGCTCTGGCAGCCCCCGATGGGCCTTTAGCGCGGCTTTCTAACATGCGCTCCCCCCCCTGACAATACACAAATGTGAAAACACCTCCACCCCCCCCAATCATCATGCTGCTGTCAACCCCAACTGTGGTTTCAAATATGTGGCCAACCTCCAAACTTACACTGGTCCACACACTTTGTCTGGCATGAGGTATTCCAACAGCTTTAAGGTAATTTTGTGGGGTGCTGATTCCAAATCTGGCATCAGTTTTTGTCTATCGCGTCAGGTTTTTGAGATATCAAATATTGCATTTTCAATAAAAACTGCGGAAGAAAAATATTAAATAGATGTGGATATCTACATAAAATGATATTATAAACACACTATCCTAAAAATACAGCACCGTATTTTAACACTAAAGCAGTCACTGACTCGCAACAACTTGCAATCATAAGTGACAGAGTTAATTTCGGGTAAAATTAATGAAAATGGGGTATGCCGATAGCATAACAAGTATAACCCGTAAAAACAAAGTTTTTCACTATAAATCCTTTATATGCGTGGCGGCTAGAGTCCTCTCGTCCTCTGGCTTGAGATGGCTGCCACCTATGGGTCAGATGATTGTCTGCCAGTATTAAGCAATTGGTAATTAAATATTTTATTTGTTTTCCCTAAACAGTGTAAAATTTTGGAAAACGAACATTAATTGTCACGCACAACGAGTCTGTGTGCAAAATGTCAGCTCGATTGGATCACGGGAAGTGGGTTAAAAAACGACCGAAAGATTTGCACGGTCCTAAGCAAGCAAGCAAGCGAACTTAATATAAAGGATTTAAAAATGAGATGTGATAGAGCAAATCTGAGATCAGATTTGGAATCAGCACCCTGAAATTAGTCTAGAACAGCTGCAAAAGTCCAGGCCAGAAAAAAATGTTGTTTTTTTGTTAACCAGTGTTGTTGTTTTTGTTGAAAAGCAGCGACTTCAAACTGAACACCCAAAACATTTGAACTGCGGTGGCTAAAAGTCTCCACCCTGGCTACTCATTTCACCAAGAACATTGGAGCGTAAAACAACGTCGCTCAAGAAAAACTCCGATTCTTTTTTAATCCTCAGATTCAGAAGTGGTGTCGACATCTGGACTATCAAACCAGTCAAAGGGTGAGTATCGCTGTTTTGCAGGAAGCTTGATTGAAGGCGATGCAGAGGCCATCATCTCTTGTTCGACCTCTCCTGTCAACGCGGAGATCTCAATCGCCTGTGACAAATGAACACATCGTAGACATAATTGTTTTTTTACCCTTCTATCTGGCAACAAAACTGACACCTTTTTTTACAAGGAGTCATGTTTGCATAGACCACAATACCTGCAGTCATAATGCAAACAAAAAACACAACTCTGATAATGTACGCACTGTCCTTGAAGTTGATTGGTCCACACCCGAGACAGCTTTCCTTAGAGCCCAGTCTCACATGGAGTTGGACCAGATGACGCCAAAAGGCGCACAACTCAAAGACAATGCACCATCCGAGTATGAGAGCTCGGGGTGAAGCATTTACACCATTGGAACCTCCTTTATAAGGAGTCATGTTTACATAGACCACAATACCTGCAGCCATAATGCAAACACAACTCTGATAATGTATGTGCACTGTCCTTGAAGTTGATTGGTCCACACCCGAGACAGCTTTCCTTAGAGCCTAGTCTCACATGGTGTTGGACCAGATGACGCCAAAAGGCGCACAACTCAAAGACAATGCACCATCCGAGTATGAGAGCTCGGGGTGAAGCATTTACACCATTGGAACCTCCTTTATAAGAAGTCATGTTTACATAGACCACAATACCTGCAGTCATAATGCAAACAAAAACACAACTCTGATAATGTATGCACTGTCCTTGAAATAGATTTTTATCTTACCAGGTAAGGCTCACTAAACCATCAGCTTCTTTTACAGAAACGTCCCGGCCACAAACGCGAGCAGCTCTACGAAGCGGCTCGCCACGTGAAAGATTGTTGAAGAGCAATAATGATTCTAGATTTGAAGCTTTCGTGGCTGCAAGGATTCATATTCTTGGGTTTTTTCGGTAAAGTCACCGTGTAGGTAAAACATTAAAGTTAATAAAAGTAAAATAAAATAAAAATCACGACGTTTCAGACGGAAGCTTGTGTTGCCTCCGAAACGTCGCGATTTTTATTTAATTTTAATTTTTTTACCTACACGGTGACTTTACCGAAAAAACCTAAGAATATGTAGCAACAATTATATTTTGGAGCAAGAGAAAAATGTGCGTGACATCATCATCATCATCGATTTAACAAAAGAATGTGCATTCATCTTCTTGTTTCTTTCGGTATGCACATTCTTTTGTCAAGGCGCTCTTCTTCTTCCACCTCCAACCCAGCTTATATATAAGCTCCAAGCTTGGCAGTGTCTCATTCTTCACCTGAGGACGGCTGCTTGCGTTGTGGCCGAAACGTCGTGAGAATTATTTTATTGTGTTTTATTTGTATTATTTTATTATATTGTTTTATTATATTATTTTATTATATTATTTTATGAAGTTTTATTTTTATTATTTTATTACTTCCCTTCTACGTGATGACTTTACCGAAAGAACCAAGAAGATCATCATCATCAGCGTTGTTTAACCTGCCGCGCCGGGAGATCAAACGGGACTGCGAGTCTGGTGCACTCACCGTCTGCAACGCTGGCAGCATCACCTCGTCACGCGTCGTGAGAACGATGTCAGATCTCATCTTGCCCGCTGCCCCCGCCTGTTCAGTTCGCTTGGACGGCATCACGCCCGACACACTTGCTAGCAGCTCTTCATCGACCTAACGTATATAACATCAACATCAATGGACAAAAAATCACGCAAAGATCCTGCAATTTTAAACGTTTATTCGGCCTTTGCCGGAATACGGAGTAAGCCAAAAGGCTTCCTGTGTGTGCATTGTACAGGCAAATCGAAATTTGCATTTTTTAAATGTTTGCTAATTCAGAAACCCGTCCCTTGGTCACGGGCACGCTTTGTGAGCGCTCCCCGTCTCGGGCACATCCATCCTACGTTCATTTAACAAAAGCTCCAAGCTCGTCAAGACGTCTATTCCACCTTCCCATATCCAGTGACCCGGCCCTTTGATTCTGATTCATGGTGATGGAGACTCGTATTAAACTGCAGAAGTGAGTTTTGTTTTTAAATTGTAAATGTTTTGTTTAATGTTATTGTCAAATGAATGCCTTAGATTACAATGACATAGTCATGCAATTATTTTTTATTAGATTACAGCAATTATTTAACTATCTGGTTTCACTGCGCACCGTACATTAGGTGAACGCTTCTATTCAGCGTGAACATCCACACAGCCCCTGTCTGTCATGAGGCCAATCATCCCGAGCGCTCAAGCGAGCCGCTTTGTCTCTACGAGAGTGGATCGAGTCCCATTGCGTCGTCCAAAGAATTTCAATCAAAGCAGTCGCATTACTCACTATGAAATCCATGACGTCCGAGCCATCGGAGTCGGACAGATGCAAGACCTTTCGCCTTCTTTTCACGACTTCCCCCGTGGCGAGGGGCTTGAGAATGCCGCCCTTGTAAGGCGACTTGGCCACTGAGACCTGTGCGAGCCAAGGTGGAGTCTTGCAGATCGCACGGACACACACACAGAGATCCCCCAGTGAGGCCTGCAGGCTTGCGGGAGTGCCGTGCTGATCGCAAACACCTAACGTCAGCGCTTAGCTCAGCGGGGTTCATTGAACGAGCTCTCGGTTCTTTCGGTAAAGTCACGTAGAAGGGAAGTAATAAAATAATAAAAATAAAACACAATAAAATAATTATTTTATTATGTTTTATTTATATTATTATATTATTTTATTTTTATTATTTTATTACTTCCCTTCTACGTGACTTTACCGAAAGAACCGAGAGGATGAATCCCTGCAGTCACGAAAGCTTTAAATCGAAATTTATTGAACGAGCCTGACTGATGACTAAGACCCAGGAGGTAATGAACGATCAGACGCTGTCTTCCCGACAGACCTAATTAAGTGGTTCGACACACAAAACTGAATGGACCATCGCCATTCCGGCACGGGTGAAAAAAGTCGGTTCATCTTAGCGCCTCCGACACGGCGATATTTTCACGCGCATTTCTCGTCGAGAAAGGCGGACATTGTTTCCACGTGAATCACAGTGCCGATTGGTTGACATGCCTCTTCTTGGTTCTTTCGGTAAAGTCACGTAGAAGGGAAGTAATAAAACAATAAAAATAAAACATAATATAACAAAAATAACGTGCATATCAAGAGGAATTTAGCATATTCATAAATTCCTCTTGATATGCACATTCTTTTGTCAAGGCGCTCTTCTTCCACCTCCAACCCAGCTTATATATAAGCTCCAAGCTTGGCAGTGTCTCATTCTTCACCTGAAGACGGCCGCTTGCGTTGTAGCCGAAACGTCGTGAGAATGATTTTATTTTATTATGTTTTATTTTTATTATTTTATTACTTCCCTTATTACTTAAAATAATAAAAATAAAACATAATAGAATATTATTATGTTTTATTTTTATTATTTTATTACTTCCCTTATTACTTAAAATAATAAAAATAAAACATAATAGAATATTATTATGTTTTATTTTTATTATTTTATTAGTTCCCTTATTACTTAAAATAATAAAAATAAAACCTAATATTTTATTATGTTTTATTATTTTATTTATTATGTTTTATTTTTATTATTTTATTACTTCCCTTCTACGTGACGACTTTACCGAAAGAACCAAGAAGATGAATCCCTGCTGCAGTCACGAAAGAAGCTTTAAATCGAAATAAAAACGGTTGCCGTGCCGTGTGCAAGTAAATTGCCGCTTCATGCCGGTCGGAACGATTGCGCGCAACGTTTCATTGAAACGCGAGTCCGTGTTTGGACACCGTGTCCATTTGTGAGCAGTGAAGCCTCGCCCCGATGTGAAGAAAAAACTCGGACGAGAAATTTCCGATTGAGCGCGATCGGTGACTCATCATCGACGGTAGCATCACGACTGATGTGAGGTCACGAGTGAATGCGGCGTGGATGAAATGGAGGCAAGTCACCGGAGTCCTCTGTGATCGGAAAATGCCGGATAGGCTGAAGGGAAAAATATACAAGACCATCGTCCGAACGGTGGCACTCTATGGATCCGAGTGCTGGCCAGCCACAACTGGAGATGAGGATGCTCAGATGGAGCCTCGGGCTCACTCGATGGGATCGTGTCAGGAACGAAGACGTTCGGAAGCGACTTGGTGTGGCACCCCCATTGCGGACAAGATGCTTGAGGCAAGGCTTCGCTGGCACGGCCACGTGATGCGAAGTGAAGAGTCATCAGTGGCCAAGACTGCCGTGCGTATTGAGCCAGAGGGCCGCCGTCCACGCGGACGTCCGAAGAAGCGATGGATGGACCGAATAAAGGAAGACATGAAGACGGTCAACGCATCCCCTGAAGATGCCCTGGACCGAGCCAAATGGAGAAGACAATGCCGAAAAGCGGACCCTGCGCCACAGCGGGAACAACGCTAGGAAGAAGGTGACTCATCATCGACGGTTGTTGAGAGCGTTACTTGTCAGCGCGTGGTGGCGAGGCGACTCGTGCCCTTGTGCCTCAACAAACGCCATTGGCAATAGCGCAGAGAACCCCTTTGCGGAACCCCGCTCCTAACATGACCACGTTGTGTTCACCCCGTGGAGAAAGCCACCACCACCACCACCACCACCATAGCAACGTGGAATTTGTGACATGACTCGGAGAGGGCCAGGAGGTATGCGGTCAACAATGCTTGACTCAGGGAGGAGGACGCCCCTGCCGTGCATAGTCCCACGGGATGTCGGCTATCAACAACAAGGCAACTCCTACGACTAATTGGGAATGGGACACAAGCGTAGGATTGATCACCCTGTCGCTGGCCGCCTTTGGGGAGGGTGTATCGTGCGAAAGGCCGAAACACCCTAGGAACCAAAGGTTCACTGCTGACGATGCGCTCCCCAAATGTCACCAGGCTCGCTGTTCATGAACTCTTGGAAGTGCTTGCACAAAGGATGGTAACATCTCATCCTGTGTTCTTTGGAATCTGGAATTGTTGACGTGACTCGGGGCTGCTCGTGCATACGCTTGCTACCGCCCGCCACGCTTGGAGCAAGAGAAAAATGTGCGTGACATCATCGTCATCAGCGTTGTTTAACCTGCCGCGCCGGGAGATCAAACGGGACTGCGAGTCTGGTGCACTCACCGTCTGCAACGCTGGCAGCATCACCTCGTCACGCGTCGTGAGAACGATGTCAGATCTCATCTTGCCCGCTGCCCCCGCCTGTTCAGTTCGCTTGGATGGCATCACGCCCGACACACTTGCTAGCAGCTCTTCATCGACCTAACGTATATATACGTCAACATCAATGGACAAAAAAAGAGTCCCATTGCATCATTCTTTGGTTCTTTCGGTAAAGTCACGTATAAAGATAAAATAGTAAATTAAATACGAGCATACGACGTTTCGATTGCAACACAAGCAATCGTCATCGTCAGGTATAAATTAAATAGAAACACAAATCTAGTATACTTAGAAATGTAATGTAATACAACAGAGAGTCGGATAACATAACAGTCAACACCCTACCTATACACTACTACGCTACACTATACACTACACTATACACTACTACACTACACTATACACTACACTATACACTATACTATACACTACTACACTACACTATACACTACACTATACACTACTACACTATACTACTACACTACACTATACACTACACTATACACTACTACACTACACTATACACTACACTATACACTATACTATACACTACTACGCTACACTATACACTACTACACTACACTATACACTACACTATACACTACACACTACACTATACACTACACTATACACTACTATACACTACACTACACTATACACTACTATACACTACACTACACACTACACTATACACTACTACACACTACTACAACAGAGAGTCGGATAACATAACAGTCGACACCCTACCTGGTTGATTACCTTCTTCCTGAGAGTGCTACATTTGAGAGAGAGATTAAACACAGAACCAGAAACACAGACAGACATATAAGCATTGCATCGTCCAAAGAATTTCAATCAAAGCAGTCGCATTACTCACTATGAAATCCATGACGTCCGAGCCATCGGAGTCGGACAGATGCAAGACCTTTCGCCTTCTCTTCACGACTTCCCCCGTGGCAAGGGGCTTGAGAATGCCGCCCTTGTAAGGCGACTTGGCCACTGTTACCGGTGCGAGCCAAGGTGGAGTCTTGCAGATCACACGGACACACAAACAGAGATCCCCCAGTGAGGCCTGCAGGCTTGCGGGAGTGCCGTGCTGATCGCAAGCAAAGGGCTTGAGAATGCCGCCCTTGTAAGGCGACTTGGCCACTGTTACCGGTGCGAGCCAAGGTGGAGTCTTGCAGATCACACGGACACACAAACAGAGATCCCCCAGTGAGGCCTGCAGGCTTGCGGGAGTGCCGTGGTGATCGCAAGCAAAGGGCTTGAGAATGCCGCCCTTGTAAGGCGACTTGGCCACTGTTACCGGAGCGAGCCAAGGTGGAGTCTTGCAGATCGCACGGACACACAAACAGAGATCCCCCAGTGAGGCCTGCAGGCTTGCGGGAGTGCCGTGCTGATCGCAAGCAAAGGGCTTGAGAATGCCGCCCTTGTAAGGCGACTTGGCCACTGTTACCGGAGCGAGCCAAGGTGGAGTCTTGCAGATCGCACGGACACACAAACAGAGATCCCCCAGTGAAGCCTGCAGGCTTGCGGGAGTGCCGTGCTGATCGCAAGCAAAGGGCTTGAGAATGCCGCCCTTGTAAGGCGACTTGGCCACTGTTACCGGAGCGAGCCAAGGTGGAGTCTTGCAGATCACACGGACACACACACAGAGATCCCCCAGTGAGGCCTGCAGGCTTGCGGGAGTGCCGTGCTGATCGCAAACACCTAACGTCAGCGTTTAGCCCAGCGGGGTTTATTGAACAACCTCTCGGTTCTTTCGGTAAAGTCACGTAGAAGGGAAGTAATAAAATAATAAAAATAAAACATAATAAAATAATTATTTTATTATGTTTTATTTTTATTATTATTAAAATAATTATTTTATTATGTTTTATTTTTATTATTTTATTATGTTTTATTTTTATTATTTTATTACTTCCCTTCTACGTGACTTTACCGAAAGAACCAAGAAGAGGTATGGCAACCAATCGGCACTGTGATTCACGTGGCTTTACCGAAAGAACCGAGAGGATGAATCCCTGCAGTCACGAAAGCTTTAAATCGAAATTTATTGAACGAGCCTGACTGATGACTAAGACCCAGGAGGTAATGAACGATCAGACGCTGTCTTACCGACAGACCTAATTAAGTGGTTCGACACACAAAACTGAATGGACCATCGCCATTCCGGCACGGGTGAAAAAAGTCGGTTCATCTTAGCGCCTCCGACACGGCGGTATTTTCACGCGCATTTCTCGTCGAGAAAGGCGGACATTGTTTCCACGTGAATCACAGTGCCGATTGGTTGCCATGTCTCTTCTTGGTTCTTTCGGTAAAGTCACGTAGAAGGGAAGTAATAAAATAATAAAAAATAAAACACAATATAACAAAAATAACGTGCATATCAAGAGGAATTTAGCATATTCATAAATTCCTCTTGATATGCACATTCTTTTGTCAAGGCGCTCTTCTTCCACCTCCAACCCAGCTTATATATAAGCTCCAAGCTTGGCAGTGTCTCATTCTTCACCTGAAGACGGCTGCTTGCGTTGTTGCCGAAACGTCGCGAGAATTATTTTATTATGTTTTATTTTTATTATTTTATTACTTCCCTTCTACGTGACGACTTTACCGAAAGAACCAAGAAGATGAATCCCTGCTGCAGTCACGAAAGAAGCTTTAAATCGAAATAAAAATGGTTGCCGTGCCGTGTGCAAGTAAATTGCCGCTTCATGCCGGTCGGAACGATTGCGCGCAACGTTTCATTGAAACGCGAGTCCGTGTTTGGACACCGTGTCCATTTGTGAGCAGTGAAGCCTCGCCCCGATGTGAAGAAAAAACTCGGACGAGAAATTTCCGATTGAGCGCGATCGGTGACTCATCGACGGTAGCATCACGACTGATGAGGTCACGAGTGAATGCGGCGTGGATGAAATGGAGGCAAGTCACCGGAGTCCTCTGTGATCGGAAAATGCCGGATAGGCTGAAGGGAAAAATATACAAGACCATCGTCCGAACGGTGGCACTCTATGGATCCGAGTGCTGGCCAGCCACAACTGGAGATGAGGATGCTCAGATGGAGCCTCGGGCTCACTCGATGGGATCGTGTCAGGAACAAAGACGTTCGGAAGCGACTTGGTGTGGCACCCCCATTGCGGACAAGATGCTTGAGGCAAGGCTTCGCTGGCACGGCCACGTGATGCGAAGTGAAGAGTCATCAGTGGCCAAGACTGCCGTGCGTATTGAGCCAGAGGGCCGCCGTCCACGCGGACGTCCGAAGAAGCGATGGATGATGGATCGAATAAAGGAAAACATGAAGACGGTCAACGCATCCCCTGAAGATGCCCTGGACCGAGCCAAATGGAGAAGACAATGCCGAAAAGCGGACCCTGCGCCACAGCGGGAACAACGCTAGGAAGAAGAAGGTGACTCATCATCGACGACGGTTGTTGAGAGCGTCACTTGCCAGCGCGTGGTGGCGAGGCGACTCGTGCCCTTGTGCCTCAACAAACGCCATTGGCAATAGCGCAGAGAACCCCTTTGCAGAACCCCGCTCCTAACATGACCACGTTGTGTTCGCCCCGTGGAGAAAGCCACCACCACCACCACCACCATAGCAACGTGGAATTTGTGACATGACTCGGAGAGGGCCAGGAGGTATGCGGTCAACAATGCTTGACTCAGGGAGGAGGACGCCCCTGCCGTGCATACTCCCACGGGATGTCGGCTACCAACAACAAGGCAACTCCTACGACTAATTGGGAATGGGACGCAAGCGTAGGATTGATCGCCCTGTCGCTGGCCGCCTTTGGGGAGGGTGTATCGTGCGAAAGGCCGAAACACCCTAGGAACCAAAGGTTCACTGCTGACGATGCGCTGCACAAATGTCACCAGGCTCTCTGTTCGTGAACTCTTGGAAGTGCTTGCACAAAGGATAGTAACATCTCATCCTGTGTTCTTTGGAATCTGGAATTGTTGACGTGACTCGGGGCTGCTCGTGCATACGCTTGCTGCTGCCTTCCCGCCACGCTTGGAGCAAGAGAAAAATGTGCGTGACATCATCGTCATCGTCAGCAGCGTTGTTTAACCTGCCGCGCCGGGAGATCAAACGGGACTGCGAGTCTGGTGCACTCACCGTCTGCACCGCTGGCAGCATCACCTCGTCACGCGTCGTGAGAACGATGTCAGATCTCATCTTGCCCGCTGCCCCCGCCTGTTCAGTTCGCTTGGATGGCATCACGCCCGACACACTTGCTAGCAGCTCTTCATCGACCTAACGTATATATACATCAACATCAATGGACAAAAAAAGAGTCCCATTGCATCATTCTTTGGTTCTTTCGGTAAAGTCACGTATAAAGATAAAGTAATAAATTAAATACAAGCGTACGACGTTTCGATTGCAACACAAGCAATCGTCATCGTCAGGTATAAATTAAATAGAAACACAAATCTAGTAGACTTAGACATGTAATGTAATACAACAGAGAGTCGGATAACATAACAGTCGACACCCTACCTATACACTACTACGCTACACTATACACTACACTATACAGTATACTATACACTACTACACTATACTATACACTATACTATACACTACTACACTACACTATACACTACACTATACACTATACTATACACTACTACACTACACTATACACTACACTATACACTACTACACTATACTACTACACTACACTATACACTACACTATACACTACTACACTACACTATACACTACACTATACACTATACTATACACTACTACGCTACACTATACACTACACTATACACTATACACTATTACACTACACTATACACTACACTATACACTATACTATACACTACTACACTACACTATACACTACACTACACTATACACTACTACACTACACTATACACTACACTATACACTACTACACTACACTATACACTACTACACTATACTATACACTACACTACACACTACACTATACACTACTACACACTACTACAACAGAGAGTCGGATAACATAACAGTCGACACCCTACCTGGTTGATTACGTTCTTCCTGAGAGTGCTACATTTGAGAGAGAGATTAAACACAGAACCAGAAACACAGACAGACATATAAGCATTGCATCGTCCAAAGAATTTCAATCAAAGCAGTCGCATTACTCACTATGAAATCCATGACGTCCGAGCCATCGGAGTCGGACAGATGCAAGACCTTTCGCCTTCTCTTCACGACTTCCCCCGTGGCAAGGGGCTTGAGAATGCCGCCCTTGTAAGGCGACTTGGCCACTGAGACCGGTGCGAGCCAAGGTGGAGTCTTGCAGATCACACGGACACACAAACAGAGATCCCCCAGTGAGGCCTGCAGGCTTGCGGGAGTGCCGTGCTGATCGCAAACACCTAACGTCAGCGCTTAGCCCAGCGGGGTTTATTGAACGAGCCTGACTGGTGACTAAGACCCAGGAGGTAATAAGTATAACCCGTAAAAACAAAGTTTTTCACTATAAATCCTTTATATGCGTGGCGGCTCGAGTCCTCTCGTCCTCTGGCTTGAGATGGCTGCCACCTATGGGTCAGATGATTGTCTGCCAGTATTAAGCAATTGGTAATTAAATATTTAATTAGTTTTCCCTAAAAAGTGTAAAATTTTGGAATTTTTTTTCACGAAAATTATTTGTCACATACAACGAGTCTGTGTGGAAAATGTCAGCTCGATTGGATCACGGGAAGTGGGTTAAAAAACGACCAAAAGACTTGCACGGTCGTAAGCAAGCAAGCAAGCACGCAAGCAAGCGAACTTAATATAAAGGATTTAAAAACCGGTCCAGATCTTGGCGGCTTGAATGAATACTGCTGAAACAGGTCCCTGCGGGTTGGGCTGGTAGGAACGAACAAATGAATGTCTATAATAAAATGAAATGGCGGGGGTACGATACGAAGGGAGAGTTTGAGGCCTAGTTCTAGGCTTTAGGCCTAGCTGTAGGCTTTAGGCCGCTGTGAGTTAATTTTTAATTGAAATGTTTTAATTAAAAACGATCTCAGGGAATTATAAGGGAATGTTGCACTTGTTTAGCCAGGAAAGCCTCACTGAGTCTAAAGGTTTTTGTAGGGTCCTGCCAAGTGTTTGCAGTAGGGGGCGATGTTGCTACACCTAATCGGACGGACGGAAGATATAATCTATTGTAGGCTGGTTCACTTCGTTCCTACCAGTATAATATTGGTCTGCAATGCCAAAAGGCTAATGGCAAAAACAAATGATTTGATTCTTTATATATAAAAGTCTCCGCGCGCTTGCAGGGGATTTGGCTCCCGGACGATGGGGTTTAAGACCGAAATAATTTGCCAGCCGGCACGCCCTAAGCCCCGCGGTGGGAATAGACTATTTCGTTTTCCCATCCCTAAACTTTAAAGTAGTTTAATTAATCTTCTTGGTTCTTTCGGTAAAATCACGTAGAAATAATTCTCACGACGTTTCGGCCACAACGCAAGTAGCTGTCCTCAGGTGAAGACCAGGTCTGTCGGGGCGACGGCATCTGAATGAAACAGCACACGAGCTTGGAGCATGTATATAAGCTGGGTTGGAAGGGGGGGGGAAGGGGGCGCCTTGACAAAAGAATTTGCATATCAAGAGGAATTTAGCATATTTATGGGAAATGCAGGTATGTGATTAGTACTACTTATGTCCGTGCATTATGCAGGATTAGCAGCATCCAAGGGAGGGGATATGGGAAATGCAGGTATGTGATTAGTACTACTTATGCCCGTGCATTATGCAGGATTAGCAGCATCAAAGGGAGGGGATATGGGAAATGCAGGTATGTGATTAGTACTACTTATGCCCGTGCATTATGCAGGATTAGCAGCATCAAGGGAGGGGATATGGGAAATGCAGGTATGTGATTAGTACTACTTGTGTCTGTGCATTATGCAGGATTAGCAGCATCCAAGGGAGGGGATATGGGAAATGCAGGTATGTGATTAGTGCTACTTTGCCCGTGCATGATGCAGGATTAGCAGCATTATAGGGAGGGGATAGGGGTAGCATTAATAAAGGGAAGGAGTGTTAATAGTATGTAGCTGCAGTAACTAAACCACCACGTAAACAACTAAAGTATAAACTACATAGCACCATCAGTATACTAAATATACTCTACAATAAGCTGAGTTACTAACAGTAAGTAATACATTCCAATTCTACGTCGTTAAAAATATAATATGCTTCCATCTAAACTGTATTCTCTTACATCACACGAGTCTACACCGTACTATATGCTGCCATAGACAAACCCAAACGTTAAATTATATACTGTATTGCTATAAACCACCCTATACCTTATACATTGTAATATTACACTATGTATTATTCTACCCACCCTAATGTATATCACACTGCTGTATATTCACTATACAATTACGATACTATATATTACTTTGTACATTGTATTAAGCATATACATTTTTTAAACTATTTGTTATTATACACTGTACCGTTGACCGTTGTTGGGGGGGGGTTGTTGTTGTTGTTGGGGGGGGGTTGTTGTTGTTGTTGGGGGGGGGGTTGTTGTTGTTGTTGCGGAGAATACAATGCCAGTGGGTGGAACGCGGTCTGAAAGTCACCGTAAACGTGAACACAATCAGCTAAGATCCGAAATGGTTTATTACGTCCTTCCAATGATTGCTAAGCCAGAATCCATCTTCTCGGTTGAAATTGTCTCTGTGTTTGTATATGTGGATAGCCTCATGAACGAATCTCTCATGGTAGCCAGATGGCTTGCAGAGAACCTCTGTCTTGGAGAAGTCAATGTCATGTGAGCCCACTGAATTGTAACAGTGATCTGCCACGGCTGAGGTGTTTGTCCTACCGTGTTTCAAATCTGATTTATGTTCACGGATGCGGTCCGAGACATGTCGTTTGGTTTCTCCAATGTAACTGCTACCACAGAGGCAACTTAGTTTGTAGACGCCAGGGTACTGTATGTCTGGAACCACGTCTTTAACATTGGACCACGTAGTTCGTCGAGCCTTCAATGCCTGTACCGGAAGAATTCCCATCTGCTACAGATACAATGGGAGGCTGATCGATGCCCGGGTGCGGTCAAGGGATGGCTCCCTATTGCTCAACCACGTTATGTATAAAGCAGTCGCATTACTCACCGTAAAATCCATGATCTCCGAGCCCTCTGAGCCCTCGGAGTCGGACAGATACCAAACCTTTTGCCTTCTATTTACGACCTCCCCCGTGGCGAGGGGCTTGAGAATGCCGCCCTTGTAAGGCGACTTGGCCACTGAGACCGGTTCGAGCAAAGGTGGAGTCTTGCAGATCGCACGGACACACACACAGAGATCCCCCAGTGAGGCCTGCAGGCTTGCGGGAGTGCCGTGCTGATCGCAAGCAAAGGGCTTGAGAATGCCGCCCTTGTAAGGCGACTTGGCCACTGAGACCGGTTCGAGCAAAGGTGGAGTCTTGCAGATCGCACGGACACACAAACAGAGATCCCCCAGTGAGGCCTGCAGGCTTGCGGGAGTGCCGTGCTGATCGCAAACACCTAACGTCAGCGCTTAGCCCAGCGGGTTTATTGAACGAGCCTGACTGATGACTAAGACCCGGGAGGTAAAAACCGGTCCAGATCTTGGCGGCTTGAATGAATACTGCTGAATAATATTGGTCTGGAATGCCAAAAGGCTGATGGCAAAAACAAATGATGTGTGTGTATATGTGTAAACACAGAATGGAGGTCTGTGTACACGTACATTGTTACCCATGAGGTTCCACAACGAAACATGAGTCTGAATAGATAATCAATTTCATTTGTGTGTTGCAGAGATGTCGCAGACACTAGACCTCGTGGATTTTCAACGAAAAGTGTCGAGTTTAAATCCGAGTCTGGGGGCCCCCGTCATAAGAATGTGGAATTTCCACTCCTGGCTTTCGGGGAGAGGACATGAATAACACGCCTGTTATAGGCTACCCGCATTATCATGGGAAAAGCACGTCTCCATGTCTGTCTCTTTGGCCGTCTCCGTGTCTACCTGCGTGTCTCTGCGAGTGTCTCTCTGTGTGTGTCTCCGTGTCTGCCTGCGTGTCTCTGCGAGTGTCTCTCTGTGTGTGTCTCCGTGTCTGCCTGTGTGTCTCTACGAGTGTCTCCCTGTGTGTGTCTCCGTGTCTGCCTGTGTCTCTACGAGTGTCTCCCTGTGTGTGTCTCCGTGTCTGCCTGTGTCTCTACGAGTGTCTCCCTGTGTGTGTCTCCGTGTCTGCCTGTGTGCCTCTACGAGTGTCTCTCTGTGTGTGTCTCCGTGTCTGCCTGCGTGTCTCTACGAGTGTCTCCCAGTGTGTGTCTCCGTGTCTGCCTGCGTGTCTCTACGTGTGTCTCCCTGTGTGTGTCTCCGTGTCTGCCTGTGTCTCTACGAGTGTCTCCCAGTGTGTGTCTCCGTGTCTGCCTGTGTGTCTCTACGAATGTCTCCCTGTGTGTGTCTCCGTGTCTGCCTGTGTCTCTACGAGTGTCTCCCTGTGTGTGTCTCCGTGTCTGCCTGTGTGTCTCTACGAATGTCTCCCTGTGTGTGTCTCCGTGTCTGTTTGTCCAACTGCGGTTACAAGTTACCTTCTGCTTCAATGCTTCCTTCAACTTTTCCATTTCTGCTCTCATTTCATCACATTGAGCCTCGTTCTGTTGCCAACAAACACAAACGTTGCCGTGATTGTTTTTTGTACCCTTCCATCTGGCAACAAAACTGACACCTTTCTACAAGGAGTCATGTTTGCATAGACCATAATACCTGCGGCCATAATGCAAACAAAAAACACAACTCTGATAATGTGCACTGTCCTTGAAGTTGATTGGTCCACACCCGAGACAGCTTTCCTTAGAGCCTAGTCTCCAGATGACGCCAAAAGGTGTCAGTTTTGCCGTGTGACTTGGCAACGTTGCTCGCCTGCGTAACATCGTCGGGGATTGTGAGCGCGAACGTGAGCGTGACGGTTCTCAATCATGATTTACCAATGGAACATTCTAGATTTGAAGCTTTCGTGACTGCAAGGATTCATATTCTTAGGTTTTTTCAACCATTATATATACGGAGTGGTAGCTCCTGCAATCTCTCATTTACTTGATACAGCTGTCGTGGCTGTGATGGTTCCACATGAAGACGGAAGGCTTGTGTTGCCTCCGAAACGTCGTGATTTTTATTTTATTTTTTATTAATTTTACTTTCATTTTTTACCTACACGGTGACTTTACCGAAAGAACCAAGAAGATGAATCCTTGCAGTCACGAAAGTTTCAAATCTAGAATCAATTTGGATTATTCACGGCAGCTGCAACAACAATAACAACAACACTAACAACAACAACACTAACAACAACAACAGTAACAACAACAACAGTAACAACAACAATAACATGCCCATCGCGACATCTTGATAAAACCTCACCTCACCATATGAATAAAAAGTGTGCTGTACTTGGCCCTTGCCCCACCAACTTCTCCAACCATTATATATACGGAGTGGTAGCTCTTGCAATCTCTCATTTGCTTGATACGGCTGTCGGGCTGTGAGGGTTCCACCTGAAGATGGAAGCTTGTGTTGCCTCCGAAACGTCGTGATTTTTATTTTATTTTACTATTTTATTAATTTTATTTTTTTACCTACACGGTGACTTTACCGAAAAAAACTAATAACAAGTATAACCCGTAAAAACAAAGTTTTTCACTCTAAATCCTTTATATGCGTGGCGGCTAGAGTCCTCTCGTCCTCTGGCTTGAGATGGCTGCCACCTATGGGTCAGATGATTGTCTGCCAGTATTAAGCAATTGCTAATTAAATATTTAATTTGTTTTCCCTAAAAAGTGTAACATTTTGGAAAAAATTTTCACGAACATTCATTGTCTCGCACAACGAGTCTGTGTGCAAAATGTCAGCTCGATTGGATCACGGGAAGTGGGTTAAAAAACGACCGAAAGATTTGCACGGTCCTAAGCAAGCAAGCAAGCACGCAAGCAAGCGAACTTAATATAAAGGATTTAAAAATGGAGGATTCCACGAAATTATTTTTAAAAAAAGCTAAACTTACCACCGTATACAGATTTTCAAGCGCATCTTGATATTTTCGTTCGAGAGAAGAACAGTCGTTGCCTTTATCTTCCAGCTGCTGGTCACAGTCGCACTTCACGTCAGGATCGCAAACAAAAAGATGCAAAACATTTGAACGGCGTTTACCAACTCGCACAAACACCGAGGCGGTACGTCGAGCTAGATGTTTCGCTACGTTCCAATTTGTGTTTCAATATATTTCGCGAACATCGTAGGGACGGAAAGACGATGCTTCAAAATTCTTGCCACTAAAAATAAATAAACCCAAAAATAAATACATTTAAACATTCACACCAATGTATCTGTGTGTATATTCACAGAAATCCAACACATTTCAATTTCGATTTAAAGCTTTCGTGACTGCAGGGATTCATCTTCTTGGTTCTTTCGGTAAAGTCACGTAGAAGGGAAGTAATAAAACGGCTGCTTGCGTTGTGGCCGAAACGTCGTGAGAATTGTATTTTTAAATCCTTTATATTAAGTTCACTTGCTTGCTTAGGACCGTGCAAATCTTTCGGTCGTTTTTTAACCCACTTCCCGTGATCCAATCGAGCTGACATTTTCCACACAGACTCGTTGTGTGTGACAATTAATTTTCGTAAAAAATGTTTTCCAAAATGTTACACTGTTTAGGGAAAACAAATTAAATATTTAATTACCAATTGCTTAATACTGGCAGACAATCATCTGACCCATAGGTGGCAGCCATCTCAAGCCAGAGGACGAGAGGACTCTAGCCGCCACGCATATAAAGGATTTAGAGTGAAAAACTTTGTTTTTACGGGTTTATTTGTATTAAGTTAGATTTTTATTATTTTATTATTTCCATTCTACGTGACTTTACCGCAAGAACCAAGAAGATCTGCAGTTATTCTGAAGCAGCTTAAACACGCGAGGCGGACTCAGGGATGAGGTGCCAACTTCCGCAAGGCACCTTGTACTCTTCCACCAATGCACTCATTTCTGTGATCTTCAACTGTGTCGCTCGCTCTACACCGCTTTTAACGTTCTCAATCTCGGCTGCAATCCTGCGGGATTGTGCCTGGACGAAGGGGGAGAAAACAACGGTCGCACACACACACACACACAACGTGCCTCGGAGTTTCACTCGGTTAAGAAATTCATTGCTAGTGCCAAGAAAGAAAAATCTTTTGCTGCCTTTTTTTTTTTGCAACGGTGATGCAAGTTAACGCTCCACGTATAAAAACGTAACATCTGCCACAGCACAATTAGACTCTAGCGTACTTTTATAAATCACAGTTTAGCACGCGCACGCAATAACACGCAATAACCCTCGTCGTTATACTAATAGGTCTTTACCCTTTTATGTGGCAACAAAACTGACACCTTTATACGAGGGATCCTTTGGAACCTCCTTTGCCAGTAGCAAAATATGATCATTGGTTTTTTACCCTTTTATCCGGCGTCATCTGGTCCAACACCATGTGAGACTGGGCTCTAAGGAAAGCTGTCTCGGGTGTGGACCAATCAACTTCAAGGACCATGTGAGACTAGGCTCTAAGGAAAGCTGTCTCGGGTGTGGACCAATCAACTTCAAGGACCATGTGAGACTAGGCTCTAAGGAAAGCTGTCTCGGGTGTGGACCAATCAATTTCAAGGACCATGTGAGACTAGGCTCTAAGGAAAGCTGTCTCGGGTGTGGACCAATCAACTTCAAGGACCATGTGAGACTAGGCTCTAAGGAAAGCTGTCTCGGGTGTGGACCAATCAACTTCAAGGACCATGTGAGACTAGGCTCTAAGGAAAGCTGTCTCGGGTGTGGACCAATCAACTTCAAGGACAGTGCACACATTATCAGAGTTGTGTTTTTTGTTTGCATTATGACTGCAGGTATTGTGGTCAATGCAAACATGACTCCTTGTAAAAAAGGTGTCAGTTTTGTTGCCAGATAGAAGGGTAAGAAACCCATAGACTCACACAGAAACCCATAGACTCACACAGAGATCCACAGACTCACACAGGAACCCATAGACTCACACAGAAACCCATAGACTCACACAGAAACCCATAGACTCACACAGAAACCCACAGACTCACACAGAAACCCACAGACTCACACAGAAATCCACAGACTCACACAGAAACCCATAGACTCACACAGAGACCCATAGACTCGCACAGAAACCCATAGACTCACACAGAGACCCATAGACTCACACAGAAACCCATATACTCACACAGAAACCCATAGACTCACACAGAGACCCATAGACTCGCACAGAAACCCATAGACTCACACAGAGACCCATAGACTCGCACAGAAACCCACAGACTCACACAGAGACCCATAGACTCGCACAGAAACCCATAGACTCACACAGAAACCCATAGACTCACACAGAAACCCATAGACTCACACAGAAACCCATAGACTCACACAGAAACCCATAGACTCGCACAGAAACCCACAGACTCGCACAGAAACCCACAGACTCACACAGAGACCCAGAGACTCACACAGAAACCCATAGACTCAAACAGAAACCCATAGACTCACACAGAGACCCATAGACTCACACAGAGACCCACAGACTCGCACAGAAACCCATAGACTCACACAGAAACCCATAGACTCACACAGAGACCCATAGACTCAAACAGAAACCCATAGACTCACACAGAGACCCATAGACTCGCACAGAAACCCATAGACTCACACAGAAACCCACAGACTCACACAAAAACCCATAGACTCACACAGAAACCCATAGACTCACACAGAAATACATAGACTCACACAGAGACCCATAGACTCGCACAGAAACCCATAGACTCACACAGAGACCCATAGACTCGCACATAAACCCATAGACTAACACAGAAACCCACACACTCACACAGAAACCCATAGACTCACACAGAGACCCATAGCCTCACACAGAGACCCATAGACTCACACAGAAATTCACAGACTCACACAGAAACCCATAGACTCACACAGAAACCCATAGACTCACACAGAAACCCATAGACTCACACAGAAACCCATAGACTCACACAGAAACCCATAGACTCACACAGAAACCCATAGACTCACACAGAAACCCATAGACTCACACAGAGACCCATAGACTCACACAGAGACCCATAGACTCACACAGAAATTCACAAACTCACACAGAAACCCATAGACTCACACAGAAACCCATAGACTCACACAGAAACCCATAGACTCACACAGAAACCCATAGACTCACACAGAAACCCATAGACTCACACAGAGACCCATAGACTCACACAGAGACCCATAGACTCACACAGAAATTCACAGACTCACACAGAAACCCATAGACTCACACAGAAACCCATAGACTCACACAGAAACCCATAGACTCACACAGAAACCCATAGACTCACACAGAGACCCATAGACTCACACAGAGACCCATAGACTCACACAGAAATTCACAGACTCACACAGAAACCCATAGATCACACAGAAACCATAGACTCACACAGAAACCCATAGACTCACACAGAAACCCATAGACTCACACAGAAACCCATAGACTCACACAGAAACCCATAGACTCACACAGAGACCCATAGACTCACACAGAGACCCATAGACTCACACAGAAATTCACAGACTCACACAGAAACCCATAGACTCACACAGCAACCCATAGACTCACACAGAAACCCATAGACTCACACAGAAACCCTAGACTCACACAGAAACCATAGACTCACACAGAACCCATAGACTCACACAGAAACCCATAGACTCACACAGATACCCATAGACTCACACAGAACCCATAGACTCACACAGAACCCATAGACTCACACAGAAAACCCATAGACTCACACAGAACCCATAGACTCACACAGAGACCCATAGACTCACACAGAAGCACAGACTCACACAAAACCCTAGACTCACACAGAAACCCATGACTCACACAGAAATCCATAGACTCACACAGAACCATAGACTCACACAGAAACCCATAGACTCACACAGAAACCCATAGACTCACACAGAAACCCATAGACTCACACAGAGACCCATAGACTCACACAGAGACCCATAGACTCACACAGAAATTCACAGACTCACACAGAAACCCATAGACTCAACACAAACCCAGATACCTCACACAGAAACCCATAGACTCACACAGAAACCCAGACTCACACAGAACCCATATGACTCACCACAGAGACCCATAGACTCACACAGAAATTCCACAGACTCACACAGAAACACCATAGACTCACACAGAAACCCATAGACTCACACATAAACCCATAGACTCACACAGAAACCCATAGACTCACACAGAACCCATAGACTCACACAGAGACCCATAGCTCACACAGAACCCATAGACTCACACAGAGACCCATAGACTCACACAGAATTCCACAGACTCACCAGAAACCCATAGACTCACACAGAGACCCATAGACTCACACAGAGACACATAGACTCACACAGAGACCCATAACTCACACAGAATTCACAGAGACTCACACAGAAACCCATAGACTCACACAGAAACCCATAGACTCACACAGAATCCCATAGACTCACACAGAACCCATAGACTCACACAGAAAACCCATAGACTCACACAGAACCCATAGACTCAACACAGAAACCCATAGACTCACACAGAAACCCATAGACCACACAGAGACCCATAGACTCACAAGAAATTACAGACTCACACAGAAACCCATAGACTCACACACAGAACCATAGACTCACACAGAAACCCAAGACTCACACAGAAACCCATAGACTCACACAGAACCCATAGACTCACACAGAAAACCATAGACTCACACAGAAACCATAGACTCAACACAGAGAAATACAAAAAACATAGACTCACACAGAAATCCCATAGACTCACACAGAAACCCATAGACTCACACAGAAACCATAGACTCACACAGAGAACCCATAGACTCACACAGAAATCCCTAGACTCACACAGAAACCCATAGACTCACACAGAACCCATAGACTCACACAGAAACCCAATAGACTCACACAGAAACCCATAGACTCACACAGAACCCACTAGACTCACACAGAACCCAAGACTCACACAGAAATCCCATAGACTCACACAGAGACCCATAGACTCACACAGAGACCCATAGACTCACACAGAAATCACCTAGACTCACACAGAAACCCCTAGACTCACACAGAAACCCATAGACTCACACAGGAAACCCATAGACTCACACAGAAACCCATAGACTCACACAGAAACCCATAGACTCACACAGAAACCCATAGACTCACACAGAAACCCATAGACTCACACAGAAACCCATAGACTCACACAGAAACCCATAGACTCACACAGAAACCCATAGACTCACACAGAAACCCATAGACTCACACAGAAACCCATAGACTCACACAGAAACACCATAGACTCACACAGAAACCCATAGACTCACACAGAAACCCATAGACTCACACAGAAACCCATAGACTCACACAGAAACCCATAGACTCACACAGAGACCCATAGACTCACACAGAACCCAAGACTCACACAGAACCCTAGACTCACACAGAACCCATAGACTCACACAGAAACCCATAGACTCACACAGAAACCCATAGACTCACACAGAAACCCATAGACTCACACAGAAACCCATAGACTCACACAGAAACCCTAGACTCACACAGAAACCCATAGACTCACACAGAAACCCATAGACTCACACAGAAACCCATAGACTCACACAGAAACCCATAGACTCACACAGAAACCCATAGACTCACACAGAAACCCATAGACTCACACAGAGACCCATAGACTCACACAGAACCCATAGACTCACACAGAAACCCATAGACTCACACAGAAACCCATAGACTCACACAGAAACCCATAGACTCACACAGAAACCCATAGACTCACACAGAAACCCATAGACTCACACAGAAACCCATAGACTCACACAGAAACCCATAGACTCACACAGAAACCCATAGACTCACACAGAGACCCATAGACTCACACAGAGACCCATAGACTCACACAGAAACCCATAGACTCACACAGAAACCCATAGACTCACACAGAAACCCATAGACTCACACAGAACCCATAGACTCACACAGAAACCCATAGACTCACACAGAAACCCATAGACTCACACAGAAACCCATAGACTCACACAGAAACCCATAGACTCACACAGAAACCCATAGACTCACACAGAAACCCATAGACTCACACAGAAACCCATAGACTCACACAGAAACCCATAGACTCACACAGAAACCCATAGACTCACACAGAAACCCATAGACTCACACAGAGACCCATAGACTCACACAGAAATTCACAGACTCACACAGAACCATAGACTCACACAGAAACCCATAGACTCACACAGAACCCATAGACTCACACAGAACCCATAGACTCACACAGAAACCCATAGACTCACACAGAAACCCATAGACCACACAGAAACCCATAGACTCACACAGAAGAACCCATAGGACTCACACAGAGACCCATAGACTCACACAGAAACCCATAGACTCACACAGAAACCCATAGACTCACACAGAAACCCATAGACTCACACAGAAACCCATAGACTCACACAGAACCCATAGACTCACACAGAAATCCCATAGACTCACACAGAAACCCATAGACTCACACAGAAACCCATAGACTCACACAGAAACCCATAGACTCACACAGAAACCCATAGACTCACACAGAGAACCCATAGACTCACACAGAGACCCATAGACTCACACAGAAATCCCATAGACTCACACAGAAACCCATAGACTCACACAGAACTCACACAGAAACCCATAGACTCACACAGAAACCCATAGACTCACACAGAAACCCATAGACTCACACAGAAACCCATAGACTCACACAGAAACCCATAGACTCACACAGAAACCCATAGACTCACACAGAAACCCATAGACTCACACAGAAACCCATAGACTCACACAGAAACCCATAGACTCACACAGAAACCCATAGACTCACACAGAAACCCATAGACTCACACAGAGACCCATAGACTCACACAGAGACCCATAGACTCACACAGAGAACCCATAGACTCACACAGAAATCACATAGACTCACACAGAAACCCATAGACTCACACAGAAACCATAGACTCACACAGAAATCCATAGACTCACACAGAAAACCCATAGACTCACACAGAAACCCATAGACTCACACAGAAACCCATAGACTCACACAGAAACCCATAGACTCACACAGAAACCCATAGACTCACACAGAAACCCATAGACTCACACAGAAACCCATAGACTCACACAGAAACCCATAGACTCACACAGAAACCCATAGACTCACACAGAAACCCATAGACTCACACAGAAACCCATAGACTCACACAGAAACCCATAGACTCACACAGAAACCCATAGACTCACACAGAAAACCCATAGACTCACACAGAAACCCATAGACTCACACAGAAACCCATAGACTCACACAGAACCCATAGACTCACACAGAAACCCATAGACTCACACAGAGACCCATAGACTCACACAGAGACCTCATAGACTCACACAGAAATTCAAGACTCACACAGAAAACCCATAGACTCACACAGAAACCCATAGACTCACACAGAAATCCATAGACTCACACAGAAACCCATAGACTCACACAGAAACCCATAGACTCACACAGAAACCCATAGACTCACACAGAAACCCATAGACTCACACAGAAACCCATAGACTCACACAGAAACCCATAGACTCACACAGAAACCCATAGACTCACACAGAAACCCATAGACTCACACAGAAACCCATAGACTCACACAGAAACTCCATAGACTCACACAGAAATCACAGACTCACACAGAAACCCATAGACTCACACAGAAACCCATAGACTCACACAGAAACCCATAGACTCACACAGAAACCCATAGACTCACACAGAAATCCATAGACTCACACAGAAACCCATAGACTCACACAGAAACCCATAGACTCACACAGAAACCCATAGACTCACACAGAAACCCATAGACTCACACAGAGACCCATAGACTCACACAGAGACCCATAGACTCACACAGAATTCACAGACTCACACAGAAACCCATAGACTCACACAGAAACCCATAGACTCACACAGAAACCCATAGACTCACACAGAAACCATAGACTCACACAGAAACCCATAGACTCACACAGAAACCCATAGACTCACACAGAGACCCATAGACTCACACAGAGACCCATAGACTCACACAGAAATTCACAGACTCACACAGAAACCCATAGACTCACACAGAAACCCATAGACTCACACAGAAACCCATAGACTCACACAGAAACCCATAGACTCACACAGAAACCCATAGACTCACACAGAAACCCATAGACTCACACATAAACCCATAGACTCACACAGAGACCCATAGACTCACACAGAGACCCATAGACTCACACAGAAATTCACAGACTCACACAGAAACCCATAGACTCACACAGAAACCCATAGACTCACACAGAAACCCATAGACTCACACAGAAACCCATAGACTCACACAGAAACCCATAGACTCACACAGAAACCCATAGACTCACACAGAAACCCATAGACTCACACAGAAACCCATAGACTCACACAGAAACCCATAGACTCACACAGAAACCCATAGACTCACACAGAAACCCATAGACTCACACAGAGACCCATAGACTCACACAGAAACCCATAGACTCACACAGAAACCCATAGACTCACACAGAAACCCATAGACTCACACAGAAACCCATAGACTCACACAGAAACCCATAGACTCACACAGAAACCCATAGACTCACACAGAAACCCATAGACTCACACAGAAACCCATAGACTCACACAGAAACCCATACTCACACAGAAACCCATAGACTCACACAGAAACCCATAGACTCACACAGAAACCCATAGACTCACACAGAAACCCATAGACTCACACAGAAACCCATAGACTCACACAGAAACCCATAGACTCACACAGAAACCCATAGACTCACACAGAAACCCATAGACTCACACAGAGACCCATAGACTCACACAGAGACCCATAGACTCACACAGAAATTCACAGACTCACACAGAAACCCATAGACTCACACAGAAACCCATAGACTCACACAGAAACCCATAGACTCACACAGAAACCCATAGACTCACACAGAGACCCATAGACTCACACAGAAATTCACAGACTCACACAGAGACCCATAGACTCACACAGAAACCCATAGACTCACACAGAAACCCATAGACTCACACAGAAACCCACAGACTCACACAGAAACCCATCTAGATTTGAAGCTTTCGTGACTGAAATGATCCATATTCTCAGGTTTTTTCGGTATAGTCACGTAGGTAAAAACATTAAATAACATTAAAAAATAAAATAAAAATCACGACGTTTCGGAGGCAACACAAGCCTCCGTCTTCAGGCGGAACCGTCACAGCCACGACAGCCGTATCAAGTAAATGAGAGATTACAAGAGCTACCACTCCGTTTATATAATGGTTGGAGAAGGTGGTGGGGCAAGGGCCGCATACTTTGTATTAATATGGTAAGGTGAGGCTTGAGAGTAAGAATAGACTGCATAACAAAGGCTGAGCCTTTGTAAACAACATCGGTCAAGTTTGTTTCGCAAACCTCCTCCAGGTGTCTGATCTGCTCCATGTAGTCCGCTAACTCGGCGCTCTCGTGGCTGCGTGCTTGTTCGCCCTGTCGCTTTAGCGAGTCGACTTCAGACCCCAAATCCTTGTACTGCAACGTCAAGCAAACACGGTCACGACGAACATTGCAGTCACGATGAAGACTGCTTCGGTTTTACCCGAAATTAACTCTGTTGCGAGTCAGTGACTGCTTTAGTGTTAAAACGTGCTGCTGTATTTTTAGGCTAGTGTGTTTATAATATATTTTATCTAGATATCCACATTTTCTTGGTTCTTTCGGTAAAGTCGTCACGTAGAAGGGAAAAAATAAAATAATAAAAATAAAACATAATAAAATAATTCTCACGACGTTTCGGCCACAACGCAAGCAGCCGTCCTCAGGTGAAGAACAGGTCTGTCGGGGAGACAGAGTCTGAATGAAACAGCACACGAGCTTGGAGCGTCTATTTAAGCTGCGTTGGGAGGGGGGGAAAGGGCGCTTCGACAAAAGAATTTGCATATCAAGAGGAATTCAGCATATTTATGGGAAATGCAGGAATGTGATTAGTACTACATATATATATATGCTCCAAGCACGTGTGCTGTTTCATTCAGACGCTGTCTCCCCGACAGACCTGCTCTTCACCTGAGGACGGCTGCTTGCGTTGTGGCCAAAACGTTGTGAGAATTATTTTATTATGTTTTATTTTTATTATTTTATTACTTCCCTTCTACGTGACTTTACCGAAAGAACCAAGAAGATGAATCCCTGCTGCAGTCACGAAAGCAGCTTTACATCGAAATTCATATCCACATTTATTTAATATTTTTCTTCCGCAGTTTTTATCGAAAATGCAATATTTGATATCTCAAAAACCTGACGTGATAGACGACAACCGATGCCGGAATCAGCAGCACCACAAAATTACCTTAACACCGTTGGAATACATATTCTTAGGTTTTTTCGGTAAAGTCACGTAGGTAAAAAACATTAAAAAGTAAAATAAAATCACGACGTTTCGGAGGCAACACAAGCTTTTTAATGTTTTTTTACCTACACAGTGACTTTACCGAAAAAACCTAAGAATATGAATCATTGCAGTCACGAAAGCTTCAAATGTAGAACCGTTGGAATACCTTACGCCAGACAAAGTGTGCTGACCAGTGTAAGTAGAGATGCATTGCCATTGACCAGTGTAGTTAGAGACACACTGCCATTGACCAGTGTAGTTAGAGACACACTGCCATTGACCAGTGTAAGTAGAGATGCATTGCCATTGACCAGTGTAGTTAGAGACACACTGCCATTGACCAGTGTAGTTAGAGAGGCACTGCCATTGACCAGTGTAGTTAGAGAGGCACTGCCATTGGCCAGTGTAGTTAGAGAGGCACTGCCATTGGCCAGTGTAGTTAGAGAGGCACTGCCATTGGCCAGTGTAGTTAGAGAGGCACTGCCATTGGCCAGTGTAGTTAGAGAGGCACTGCCATTGACCAGTGTAGTTAGAGAGGCACTGCCATTGGCCAGTGTAGTTAGAGAGACACTGCCATTGACCAGTGTAGTTAGAGAGGCACTGCCATTGACCAGTGTGATTAGAGAGGCACTGCCATTGAAACAACTTGGCACTCACCTTGTTTTCATAGCAGCCGACCTTCACGCAGAGTGCCTCTCGTCGCTTGCCCAGCTCGCGAACCTGTCGCAGTTCACGCGCAACGGACGTGCTGGTCAGTGACCTTCGGTTTTTTCGGTGAAGCGACGTAGGTAAGACAATTTAAATGAATGAAAGTAAAATTAAAGTAAAATAAAACTAAAATAAAAATTTCACGACGTTTCGGAAGCAACACAAGCAGCCGTCCTCAGGTGAAAACCAGGTCTGTCGAGGCGACAGCGTCTGAATGAAACAGCACACGAGCTTGGAGCATGTTTATAAGCTGGGTTGGGAGGGGGAAAGAAAGGGGGCGCCTTGACAAAAGAATATGAAATATCAAGAGGAATTCAGCATATTTATGGGAAATGCAGGTATGTGATTAGTGCTACTTATGCCCGTGCATTATGCAGGATTAGCAGCATCAAAGGGAGGGGATATGGGAAACGCAGGTATGTGATTAGTGCTACTTGTGCCCGTGCATTATGCAGGATTAGCAGCATCCAAGGGAGGGGATATGGGAAACGCAGGTATGTGATTAGTACTACTTATGCCCGTGCATTATGCAGGATTAGCAGCATCCAAGGGAGGGGATATGGGAAACGCAGGTATGTGATTAGTGCTACTTATGCCCGTGCATTATGCAGGATTAGCAGCATCAAAGGGAGGGGATATGGGAAACGCAGGTATGTGATTAGTACTACTTATGCCCGTGCATTATGCAAGATTAGCAGCATCAAAGGGAGGGGATATGGGAAATGCAGGTATGTGATTAGTACTGCTTGTGCCCGTGCATTATGCAGGATTAGCAGCATCCAAGGGAGGGGATAGGGGTAGCATTAATAAAGAGAAAGGATTGTTAATAGTATGTAGCTGCAGCAACTAAAACCACCACGTAAACAACTAAAGTATAAACTACATATTATCATCAGCATACTAAACATACTGTTTTGTGTTTTGTATTACCAAGTTTGTGCATGTCTGTACGTAGGCTCCGAGCTGTGCCTGGTGATGCGCTTCGACAGATTCCAACTCGTCCCTGGATTGAAAGAGAAACGCGTGACAGGTGTGCGGTGACAGTCCCACACGGTCCCTGGGACAGAGTAGTCAAGAAGGCGGCGCCGTCACTCCGCGCTCCGACTGCTTAGGGAACGGGGAACATTCAAAAGGTGTAAAAGAGAGCAACAGGGTCGGGTGAGCGTCAGGTGGGACGGTTAGACCAGCGCCAGAGGTTGCAATCGGGTACCCGATACCCGTACCCGACTACCCGATACCCGTACCCTACCCGATACCCTACCCGATACCCGTACCCTACCCGATACCCGTACCCTACCCGATACCCGTACCCTACCCGATACCCGTACCCTACCCGTTACCCGTACCCTACCCGATACCCGTACCCTACCCGATACCCGTACCCTACCCGTTACCCGTACCCTACCCGATACCCGTACCCTACCCGATACCCGTACCCTACCTGATACCCGTACCCTACCCGATACCCGTACCCTACCCGACACCCGTACCCTACCCGATACCCGATACCCGTACCCTACCCGATACCCGTACCCTACCCGATACCCGTACCCTACCCGTACCCGACTACCCGTACCCAGCTGGGTACGGGTAGTCGTTTGCGA